CTTCTTCCCAGGTCCGAGGATTCAATTCGCGAACGGAAACCGAAAGGAACACGAACGATTCCGAGAAATAGCAGAAGATGACAGATGATAAGTGGGATTGAACGTCGAGAGCGAAGACGCTAGGACGGACGTCACGCTACGAAATGTTATTATTTCATACTTGCCCAAGATTGATGATGCGAACGCGGAAAACAAGACACCAAGAATGCCTCCCGCCGCCAGCCTCGTCGGCCTCGTAGTCATCGTTGTGTTTTTCGCGAGAGAACGAGTACTGGCGCCGGAGGAAATGTTTACTCTCAGATTAGACCCGGGACAAACTTGTATAATACAAGCGAGCTGACGCTGTCGGTGCCAATGCTTATTATGATCGGCTTGAACTGTTCTGGCAACATACGGGACGTCGCGTCGTGGCAGGAGAGCCTGCAGACCTTCATCGAAGAGAGTTTGATCGTACCACCACATGTTACGCTTCTAAGACACTCATGCTCGCTGGGTTGCGTTCGTCCGAGGCAATCGAGTCCCCAATACCGAAACACGGCGGGCAATGGATTTCCAGAAGTGGACATCCATTTTCGAGATCGCTCACGGTCAATGAAATTCCGACAGCGCACGGGTCGCGATTGTCTTCAAGCCTGCATTATTCACGCCTGCGGAGCTTCATCAAAGCTGATTAATAATAGATTGTTTCCTCTGACATCTCGATTCATTCCGGCCGATGGATCAGTGCCTAGTCAGGTTCCCTTTGGGCATGGACGAGCAGCGCCGGGCGCAGGGTCTTGCGCTTCGGCATAATACTGCGTCGGAGCGCTTCCGTCGGGCTCGGCCGGGTCATCAACGAAAATGATGGTTTGTTTTCGGTGAGAGGAAAACAGGGTATTTAAGACGCCTCGCAGCACCCTGCCGGCTTCCGCGGATAATGACTCCTGACGCCGACGGCGCCGTATCGAAGGCAGTCGTCGAGAGCCGGTGAATTGATCTTTTCTGAATACCAAGCGCTGCTCCACGTGTCTCGCTCTCGGGCGACGTCCTCGACGGGACAGAGAAGACTCGCTGACACAACTTAGTGGATGACATTCTTCTCGTCTATTCTACTGTAGGAGGAAGGATCCAGAAAATTAGCCTTCCTGTGGGCTGTGCCACTCAGGAGATTTCCTCCATGCTTGAGAGAGCTTGAATGCCCACAATATCTCGTTGAATGGAAGCGGGGCAGTATGTCGGTAGGGAATGAATCCCCTCGATGAGATCGGGACCGAATGCTCTCATCGGGGAAACGGATTGCGTCAGCAACTCGTCGATTAGACTTCGCTCTACGAAAGAGTTCGGTGACGAAATAATCGAAAACGGTGACGTTCGCACACGGTGCATGACTGGCGCCTACGGAGACTCACTCACAATCAGTGAAAATGTTATCGCTTCTCGCGAGAAGAATGAGTTGTGACGGTGACGACTATTCTTCGGCTTTCGATATCGGGACCGGACGGATTCCACTGGGAGCGCGAGCTCAGGTCAAACCTACGGTGAGGATTCCCGGTTTGTAATCCAGCGTCGGAACTTTTCCGGCACCTTGGGGAATTTATCATTCAGAGCTTGACAGTGAAGAGTCCCGGAGTTTGCGTTTTCGAGTATGCGGACCCATTCCTTGTGACTCCGCATCAGGAAACCGTGGCGAGCTGATCGAGCTTGTCCATCTAGATTCGTCGAAGGCCGCTCTGAGGGAGCGAGACCTCCGCTCTCTGGGAGGGTTTTCAGTCGGAGAGTTTTTTCGCCACGGTCGGTTCCTTCCGGCCCGCCTTTTCGCGACTCCTCGCCCGCTAACTTTTCCCTCGGATCTCGTCGGCAGGGTCGACTCCGCGGTGCCGGAGTACCTAAAGCTACAAGAATTCGCGGAAATAGCGTGAGGCTGTGTTCGCGGCCGGCACAAGAAGCGCCGCGCCGCATCTACGCTCTGGGGAATGCATTCAGTAAACAACAGCTGAATGTTTTCCGAATCGTCGCCCAACCTAATCGGACAAATGGGTCCAAAACTTCGCGCCGAATTACTCGGCCCCACCGGATGCTGAGCTCCAGATCTCAGTCCCGCATTACGCTGGGAAAGGTCGCTCGTACCTTCCCGGACCGGCGGTGAATCGCAGCTAAATCGACCCGCACCCGTAATTACTTATGTCCAATCGATTCTGCGCATCGACGGGATCGCTCCTTTCCCAGAATTCAGAATAATTTATCCATCAGACAGAGACGATTGATTCCGGTAAGAGATCGAGAACGATGGCGGTGGAAGAGCTCTCGTGAGATTGAAACATCGGATCACGCGAGTTGTAACGATGGAGGAACAAATGGATGTTCCTTAGCAAGACGGGTGCTCTTAAGGTTAGACATGAATTGATCGTTGCTGGAATCAATTTGGCGCCCACACCCGAAAAGAGGGCGGCGTCAAAATGGAGCTCAGCATCGGACCGGTGCTTGTCGATCGTCCGAGGTCGTTCCATTACCAGGACTACCTTCCTGGGACCTCACAAGATCTCCTGCACCAAAGAGAAATCAGACCAGCCCCAGTGAGAATTCATTCCATGAGAGCTTTCGTCAACATGAGATGTGAAAACAGTACAAGAGAATCAGGAAACATGGAGCAGTCGAGAATCATATCGTTCCAGCCGTCACGACGGATAGAGGTATAACGAATGATCGAGAGGCCTTTCGTTATACATATTATAGGTATCTTAGATTGACCGCTCACTCAGCGGAGAGAACCACACAGGGTTGTGGTCAAGGGATACAGCCAAATATTCAGTCTTCGAATTTCAGCTCCTCACCTGCACAGCTAAGGAACGACAGATTGAAATCGTGCGACCTCGATCGAGTTCCTCAGATGAAGCGTTGGGGAATAAGCTTCAATTTTCCACGCGTATACGCCATGCGTAGGAGGGCTTCAAGCCGGCCCAAGGGAGACCTCGGGAGTGTTTGTGAGCGGCGCCTTTATTCTCCTTTCTTTTATAACATATTTTTACGACGAGGATCGCCAGTCAATCTCCCGTTTTTTTCTGAATTTTCTCAACACTGACAGCCGCCTCGGAAGTGATTCCACTCTCCCTTCCCGCTAGAGATTCCCCCTCGCTCCGCGGCGCTGTTCCTTGCTCCCTGCGCCAGAAATGGTAACCTTCTCAGACTCTTGTGTGCATTCCGGGGGCCAGAGATTGGCAATACTATTGGAAGAGAAGGATCCAGGGGGAAATTTTCGCGCAGACCGAAACCTCCACTCGAAACCACCACTGTAGATTCTCTGACTCATGCGAGCGCCAGCCAGCGGGCGGGCAGCCAGCCAAGCTCGGCAAAAAGAATTTCGAGAAGAAGAATGAAAGAAATAAAAATCCTGCACTGACGCTGTTTCCTGAACCCGGAGCGGCGCTCAGGCCACTCAGTCACTAAATCAACGCAACGAATTCCCCGAGACAGGAAAAAGTAGAAAGAGAGCAAAGCAACTGCTAAGTCGCTGTCCCGTCGTCACCAGCGCGTTCCGAGATAATCGCTTCACCTCCGAGCACGAGTGAGGATTTTCCGTCCAATTTCAGGAGAGTATGTGGTGCCTGCTCCACGGGCTCAAGAAGAAGTGTATGGATTTCTCCGCTGCACATAATTAGGTATGTATGTATGTTTAATGCTCAAAGGAGCGACGCTCCTTGCTCGTCACTCATATAGTATCAGTGTTAATTAGCGTACCGGGTCGATGGGGCTCCCGGTCGAAAGCGATTATCTCTATCGAATGAATCGGCTCCCACTCACAGACAGTCAGCCGAATTCTATACGGGCGCAGACTAGGGGGCCTGGTCGATGGAGCGGAGCTAACGTCATGAGGCTGATAGAAATGGGATTCGAATGCTCGTATATTCGCTTACGATACGAGGCGAGCTCAGGACAACCGAAAACCGAGGGCTTTGGCTCTTGGTGTATTGAGTTGCCCCCCTAGTCCGATCCGTCGGGGGATTGACAGCAACGGCCCCAGCTGCACCGAGTCGCGAAGTACTGGCGACTATTGACAGCTAACCCCGCGAGTGGTCGGAATAATACGAGCATGACGTGTGCACTGACAAGCAAGACGTCGAACATGACGGCGAACAAGCGAGCCCACGGACGAGGTGTCATGCCGAGAAGAGTGTATGATGTCTTTCGGGACGTCAAGCGAGATGCCCACTAAATTGGATGATATGTTCCAGGCATCGAGGAATATCCCGACCACCGACACCGAGCCCCATACCGAACGAGTTAGCTGTGTGAGCAAGTGCCTTGCTCCAGAGATGATCTGTCGAGTGTAGCGTGAGCCGACCGGCCAACTTTCCCTCTGGATTCCAATTACTGGATAAATCCCCCAGCTCATTGGTTTTCCGAAAGTTCCCTCTATTACCCTCTGTTTCGGCTGCGCGAGCCACCGTTACGAATAAATAGCTTTCCTATTTCGCTGGTGGATACTGCGTAGTCGAGTGTCGGAGGGAAAGGCCGGGGCAACGGAGAAGGCGAGGAAAAGGTCCTCTTGACTATTCCGACCGAGAGCTACCCGGACAGATCTCAGGAGCAGAGGGTCGCGCAGGATGAAGCGTGGCCCTCTTTACCCGGCTGCTATTTTCTTCGGACGAGAATAGTGTGTTATGCTTTATGGCGACACTGGAGACCACACGCGACCGCTACTTCTGTGAGCCTTTTCAGTACGTTGTCGTTCCTTCCTATTTTTCCTTTCCTCCTTAACCCTAGCTGACGTCGGGACTACGACCGGAGCCCGCCGAGCCTCTCAGAGGCCATCAGCTGTGCTCCTGTCAAAACTACGGCTGAGGGACCTCATGTCGAGAACTTCATTTGCGCTGTCACTCCTGCCCAGGCTTCTCGGAATTCCTCCGGCTGACACAGCTGTGCTCACAATAACGCATGCTCAAGACATGGAGTGGGTACTTCGTTCAAACATCCAACGGGTTTATTCTTTTTCCACGCGGCAATTCCGATGCTCGCCATAATTTCAGTATCACCTTTTCGCTTCTGCTCAAATATGTATATGCACCTCTCGAATTTATACATCGGTGCGTAGCAACGATAACGCATCATCAGGAATGATTCCGTAATAGCCGCGTACATAATCCGCAGTGCTGGCTCCCCTATCGCGGCGGGGTGGACGGTTCTCCTCGTGACTTACGACAGGGATGTCGAGAAATTGAAATATTCAACCTGGAACAATGCGTTGTCGATTGCTACCGAACACCGAAGTCGACACTTCCGCGCTTGGGGTTCGCAGCAGAAGGGACCGTGGGAAAACACATTCGAATATTCAGAAGTTGGCGCACCCTAATCGATGGAAGAACAGCTAAGCCATGGGCTTGAGCAAAAGGTCGTAGTTGAGGTTTCTTCGGAGGGATATGTAATTGCGAAGAATGCACGCCATACAAAGCAACGAAGTTGTGATGCCCAGCGCCTGAAACGGAGAGTTTGGTGTTTAGGCGCACTCTTAATTCGATACGCTCGTTTCCGAAATATTCAGCGGAGCTCCGAGGGTAAGGGGGGATGGGAGAGAGTCCGTATCAATACATAGGATCGAGGATAACGGACGACCATTAAGCACAGTCAGAAAATCCAACGTTCGATCATTACGGTCCTCACTGCATGGGAAATCGATGTTTTTCATTCTCTCTCAACAGCCATCCATACCGCAGAGCTTTCTTAGAGCAATACTGGGTCCTTCGGCTACGGGGATACTATGTCTCAATGCTTCCCTGTTCCTGGTCCCTCCTCGAATTCCACAGATTCCTCCAGTGGGTTTTCGGGGTGCGGTGGAAAGGTAGCTCAGTTGAGCCCTTCGTATGGAGGGTACCGTACCGGATTCCCGATTCCAGCATGCTCGATTGCGACATGCCCGACTCCGAGAGGTCAGATCGGGGAGAAACGGGCAAACATGACCATGAGGCGACCTTATCTTGGCTTGGGCTGCGACCTAACCCAATTCAAGTCTCTCGGCCCGGTTTCGGAGAGGTTTTGAGCCGGACTGCCGGCGACGATTCGGGAATCCGGGAAACGGGTACCCAGGATTCGGGAATGATGTACCCAACCAGCGAACAGAGGTAAGACGAGAGATCCTCCACAATGCGTTCCCAAAGTCCACAACAAAACTTCGAGTCGGAGACCCCCGGACTTGTGTTCCAGCGCCGGGCGGGTATCTCGCGATCCATTCATATTGGACAGTTGAGGATTAATGTTCCATTAGAGCTATCTCCTATTCCTATTTGTCTCATTGTCAACTGATGTTTGCGTTTTGCCGTAGCCGAGCGAGCGCGAGAGCATGCACTCCGGTAGGCTTGCGTAACATATGATAGGAGCCGCATGGACTATTCGTATGACCCAGGAATTTCCGTTCAAGGCCGGTGGGAGGCAGGGATCCAGCGAGCTTTCCGCGTCAGCTAGCCTCGATGTGTTGTATACGCGAGAAATGCTCGTGTTCGTGGCATCGCTGTCACAATAGAGCGCAGACTCTCCGAAGAGACCTTTGTTTCAATTCACTTCAATCCAATCGCTCGGAGGCGATGAAGCATCACTACTCAGGTCGTTCCCGGCCACGCGACGGAGCGAAGTCTTCTTGCTGAGCTGAGTGAGTCTGGAGCTCCACGTGTTTCCTACTACACCGCTTCGCAGTGTTTGAAGACGCCATTCTCGAGGACAATGGGTCGAGGGAGGGAGGGAGAAAATGGAAGGCAAAGGAGGTATTGCTTAGAAATACGAGAGAAGAAGACACCTACCGATGTTGCTAAGGTATTCTCTATACTTTGAGTGCTGAGCCGGCTGTCGTGTAGCATCGCATCGGGCAGATCAAGGAGTGCCATGGCAGACATTAACAAGATAGAAGAGCTTAGACCACATGTGAACGAAATGCATCCTGCGATAAGTTCCTGCAACGAAATGGGTGAGTCAGGAGGGGAATGACTGGCCAACAGACTGAGTGAGTGACTGACTGACTGACTAAGCGACCGAACGACCGACCGACCGACCGACCGACCGGCCGGCTGAGTGGTCCACCAGCTGAGACTAGCAGAAACAAGATGGACGTCTGTGGGAGCCGCAGCTGGAGCCCGAGAAGAACACCTGAGTCTCAAGGAAGCGTCTGTCACGCATTGACGGAAAGCGATAACAACGACAAGAGATTGCTCTATCTCCGCTGTCTCTATTTTTCTGTTCATGTCACGCCCACTCCGTGTCGTCCGCTGGGACATCGGATCGCAAAAAACGGTCGCACGGAACAGCTGACGGACCGTCGATGGAGTTTCACCGATGGATAACAAAGGGATAGGTGGATCCAACGACGCGCTTGACTAGATGGCGACTGCTGTTTGGATGAACATCGTCTCAACTGACGACCACATCCTTTCTCTCGCAGCATCCAGCGCAGCTCCTGGTCACGAGTGCAAGGAAACGCAAGGGGAGGGAGGGGAGACGACGCGACGTCCCCGTCAAGAAGCTCGACGCCGAAATTCGGAGTCCATCCCGACCCTCTCAGCACCGGCCACCATCAGCAAGCAAATGGTATCCTTCTCATGGGTGGACAAGGCTTCTCGGTCCCTCGTTCCCAGCAGCGGCTTCTCCCAGAGGATGGTTCAGGGAGCCAGGAGGAAACTTGGCTCGAGCCGGGCCTGCCACTCAAAAACTGTCGCGTGGCGGAGATAAGTGATTCGTGGGAGAGATCGCTGCGTCGGAATGGCGTGGGTAACCGATCCGGAAAGCTTCTCCATATCCTCCATGACCGATGGAATAATGTTTCGAGTCTGCTGAATACTTCTAAATAGTCTATGGCTCCTCTGGGTGTTGTAAAGTGTTTGCTTGACTGCCTCCTTGCTATTCTGACCGACTGAACATCTTCTCGTCGAACCCCTGAATCACGAACCAGCAGCAGAACAGGTCCGAGGGAGTTGAGCAGTCTTTACGGCGACGATGCCGGTGGGAACGACTGAAAGAACAACGTCCAATCCGAGGCCGCGCGGGGAGCGTCGTACGGACGAGGAGTTCTACAATGTGGATCCCCAGAGCTGACTCGTGCGGAGACAGCTTGACAGGCTTCCGAGGTCGGCTCTCCCGCCGACTGGTTGGAGCAGTCGTGCGACATATCTGTCGTTTATGGAGCCTGGTCCCTCCTTCATTTCGATACCGAAGAGCAAGATCACCACTCCAGAAAAGCAGATCCTCTCACGACGGACGATGCTGCAGCTGCGGCCGATGACGTCACTGGAAAGCATGCACTTCGTTGGACTTCCGCCGCTTGACCGTACAGCTCGTGCTGATTGTGCTGTTGGTGGGAACGATGACGAGGACACCGCCGTTCCCACCGGAGAAGAACGAGCGTAGTCGTTGTTGAGGGCGGTCGCAGAGCGGTTGCTCGAGGGATCCACCACGAGATTGCCCGATTTGCATTGCAACGGAAAAAAGACCTCCTCAAGGGACAGTCAAAAGTGGTTCGCTCCGTACAATGCCGGCTGACACTTGCATTTCTCCTTTCCTCCTCTTTTTCCGCTTCTTTCCATTCTTGCGTCGCGACGTCCTGGACGTCTGCGGGTGACTAATGGGACCTTCCGATGCTAAACTCGGACCGGACTTGCGGTTAGAGAAGCAGGCAGGCGGGCGACCGCATTTGGAGCGTCCCTGTTGTGACTGCGCCTCGACGTCGTTTCTCGCGTGGTGAAAGTCCAATGCGAGACCGTGTGAATTGCTTCTCGAGCTGGAGTTCAGAAGTGGGATGCGTTTTTTTCAGGGAGATTCAACGCAGCGTGCACCCCGACTTCCGACCCATTGTAGAGCGGTGCTCAAGAGAAAAAGTAACACCGTACCGAAGTCTACTCTTGCTTTTTTTTTCTTTTTTCAGAACAAGTTGCCGGCCTACTTGATCGACTCCTCTCGCCGGGTCTCGCCCAGAGCTTCCCTCAGGGTACTCCGAGCCCGGCCCAACTGAAAAAACGCCGCTCAGCCAAGCGAATACCAGGGGGATCTGAGACCTTTCGAATCGACACACGCTCAACTGAAGTCGAACTAGCGACGAGCGCGATGATCAATTATCTCGAGTTTATGGACCCCATCTTGCGTCTGAGCTTGATATGATCGGAATCAACACACCGAAGCGCAGATCGGATTGTGATAAACGAACGCGCTGAGAGTATCGAACACCTGGAAGGGGAGTATAGACACTTCCTCCGCCTTGCCAGTTGCTATCGGATATCCGGGGCTCCGCGAAGGAAAGAAGGAAAGCTTCGTACGAGAGAGCGATCCCGATCGAATCCCGTGCTGGGATCAAGCTGGGAAAGATGCAATACACCGATCAAGCGTATGCATCTCGGATTCGCCCACTCGGGTCGCAAAACAGTTCCCTCCTAATAGGGAAATCCGCGATTTTCTTCGCTTCGATCTTCCCATCAAGAAGATGAATAAAGCGGAATTCGGAAAATCCGTTGGATGAGGCTGAACAAATACGTGCATCTCGAACTTTTCCCGACGGGTCCTCAGTTCGGAAAGATACGGCACCAGAGAGCGGGGATGAGCTCCCGTCGGGACGCAACTCCGAGTTTCGTAAAGCCCTCACGCCTCCGAAGAAGGCGAATTATTAAAATTGACAGCAGCACCAAAGATAGATATCCTAGCCACAGACCAGGGCTCTGATGGGCTCTCCCTGAAGGCTGAGCAAGAGAATCAATCAGGATCTGACAACAAACGCCCTTGAAAGTCATGGAGGACTCCCGGAACAACTTGTATCGATCCCAGCGATCCTTGACAACGATAGAAACGAACACCCTGAAAAAAATGAAGTCTCGGAAGGAGCTCACGTCTCATGGGCTTACCAGGATCGTACTCGGTAGTAAGACGCTGCTGAGTGGTGAAAGCAAATACGACAGCAGGATAACCGAGTGCAGGACGAAAGCGGACAGGTGCGTCAGGATGAAGTTGATCTGACGCGACGTACAGGAGAGATGCGCTGGCAGCATCTGATTGTTCATCGCTGTTGGGTGGCAGCTATACAGCATGCTCATCCCACAGTACAGACATAGCACCTGCAAAGTAACGACACAATTTCACGTCAATTTCCGTTTCCGGAACGTTTATGCCTCTTGGAGCTCGGGTCCTACAACTCCCGACTCGGAGTCAAGATCGATATCGGAGCGCGAAGCCCGCTCGGGACTGGGCTTCCGCGGGAAGGCTACTCGGACGACTTCGATGGATCGTAGCTTGGGCGGATCCGAAACCAGGTCTCAACCAGGTCGGCGACGAACGATCCGGACCTTTCGGGAAAGATCCGTTTATTGCTTGCCGCCGCTGCTGCTTCTGCTAGTGCCAAAGCTCACTGAGGCGTTCAGAATCCTTGGTGCCTTCCACAGGCGGTGTGCAATCAAAAGCGAACCAAGTCTGAGGCAACATAAGACCTAGTGGACCTTGAAAAGCGAGTTTATACATCTATGGACACTAATGCCTTCACGTTGAGGTCTCCGCTACGAGAACGGGAGCAAGCCGCGCGGAAGAGACGTGTGCACTTTTCAGCAGCGAATTGCGATTTGGGTTTCCCCAAACACCGAGCCGCTCGTGGTTTGGAGGAATCGGAGCCGTTCGCTCGAAAAAAAAGGGAAGTCTGCTCATGCTTCCGACCGAAAGCTTGCTCAAAGTTCTCTGTTAGAAGCCGTACGCAGCTGAGACGCACGTTCCGTTCTAATAAATGCGAACCTCTCGTGAGCGTTAGAACCCTGGCGAATCGATCTAACCACGAATCGATACCCTCTACATCGATCACATATCGACGACAGATCGATTCTGTAGGTACGTGAGACTTCCATAATGGGGGAACATATAATACATCGTTGGATGTGATCTCCCTTTTCTCTGGAAGGTCCTCTACGAGGACTACGGCCCCTCTGAACTCCCACCGAGCCGCTTTCGGACGTCGACGGCGACAACAACGAAGTCGACTTGAGCAAACATCGCTATTACTACAACGCAGCGTTCGACGACAAGCGGAACTGCAAACTTTGAACACTCTCCCCCGCGAGCGGTGAACTCTTTGAAAATCGATGGGGCGATCGCCCGCCCGATCGAGCGAGCGAGCGCAATCGATCGGCTCCAGTTCGCCCGTCAGTCAGTCAGGGGGAACGGCAAGCAAACGACCGAGCGATCGAGCAAACGCTCGGGCGAGCGATTGATACGGAGAGCCGTAACAACATCGTCGAATGGCTACAACGATTCCCCTTACAATGAAAGACCGGTCCGGATCTCTGATTTCCTTCGCTCTTTCTCCCGCTATTTCGCTCTCTAGATCGCGTTTTCTTTCCGAACGTCTACGGCGGCAGTGGCAGCAGCAGCAGACCGCCGAGACAGTGATGAAGGAAACGAGATAAGAAACGAGGGAGGTCAGAGGGAAAGCGGAAACCAGTCGATCGTCTCATTTCTCACATCCACCGCGCCTCACACGAGGCCCGAGAATTATTTTCCTTGGGGATCGGCGATGGTGAGTTGAATCCGAGAGAATGAATTTCCTTCTAGAGAAAGGCAACGCCGCAAAGCATCGAAAGGATGGAACATCGAGTCGAAGTTTCTGCAGAGTCATATTTTCAGAGCTTAGTTTTTGTACCGCGCTCGTCGAGAGAAGGTGGGAAGACATCCGCTCCCGAGATAAAATTTCGAGAGCGTTCGAGTTCTCAAACCGGTTTTTGATTCCTCCGGAAATTAGGTTCGTCCAGGGCTCGGAATTGAGAACCCGGTATTTCCAGGGAGCCTCCGCGATCCCCGACCAGAGGCGCTGGACCTGGGGGCTCGCCTTGCTCGGCTCGAGGGGGGTGGAATAATCCTCCTGGTGGTTCCTTCTTTCCTGCTCCTCATTGTTCGATCAGATGAATCGATTGTTGGGCAGTAGTGGACAAATGCGTCGACATAGTCAGGCTAACTTAGAATAGACCCCTAGACGGGGTTCTAGTGAAGGAATCGAGCGATAGCAGAAATCAAGAGCCCAGGTCGAGAAGATCTCGGAAGATATCGACTTCGATAGGACCAGATCATCCGTGAAGTTTCGAGCGGTTTCGCGTCTACTCCGAAAGAATGAGCAAAACTTCGCCTATCGGGAAATCTTAAAACCTCCGGCTTCTTCGCTCACCACGACAGCCGGAGAACGTCGGCTCCGCATCATCTCTACCAAACCGGTGTCGGAGCTCTTTCGCGAACGTTGAGAAAACGCCTCGTCGCCACGAACGAAGCCGAGAACGCTTCTTCCAGCTCGCGTGCTTCGCTCTTGAGGAAACACAGCTATCGCAGAGATTAGCAGAGTCGAATGGAGGAGAGAAACAAAAAATCGAACTCACCACATGAATCAGTTTGATGAAGCCGTCAACCGTCTTAAGATATTTGAAATTCGACGACAAAATCTGAGAGCCAATGCTGTTCAACGTGAGAGGTTTACGAACAGGTGACGGCGAATACGGCGAACAATGGAGGGGGCTGCTGCAACTACGTCTCGAACGTGCGGAGCCATCCTCCTCCTGCGGCTCCGACGTCTGAGCCAACGTCACAGGTGAGCGCAGCGGACACGCGCGCTCATCGACACCGATGGCTCGATGTCGGGCGGTGAGAACCCGGGCAGGGCATGGCAACTCCTGCCCAAGTTCTTCAAGGAAATGTGAAAGCGCGCCAAAGTGACGGATGACGGGGTGTCCAATGCAAGCGTAAGGATCGTCAATTTGCATACGATGCCGAAAATGAACTGCACACAATGCCACACAAGATCGACCACTCGCTTGCCGTGACAGGCACGTCACAGATGCGAGCTATGTCTCCGACGACAGAATGTCGCGTGCTGGAGTCATGTACGATACCGCACGGCAGCCCCACGTTAGCTACAGTGGAGAGGGACGTCGGCGAGGGTACCGGCCCCGGCCCCCAAGCGGGCCCTCCCTCGTGTTCTCTTCTCCACGAGACGTCATCAGGGTGGTTCCCCCTCTGGGGAAGTTCAGCGGAAATCGAGACGATAAGACTCGATGATCGATACGTGCGTAGTCTTGAGTAGTACGCGACCATGACATTCATCCTGAGTTAGGTTTGTCCCGACTTCCGCCATTAGGATATGGTCCAAGGAAGTCCTGGAAACGCGTCCGCAAAGGTGCGCGGTCTCGAGAATGAAAGCTCCAGAGGAATTCCGAATCTCAGGAGACCCGGTAAATCCACGGGCCCGAGCTCGGACGCTGAACCGGGAGGGCAATTAGTGCATGCATGGATTCGCCTGCGGAGGCGAAGAACGAATACTCGCAAGAAGCCGGAGGCACGGCATTCGTATGCTCCTGCGTCTAATCAGGAGGGACGCCATCAATGACGAGCTCGTGTGCTCGAAGAGTGTCGCATTACATCGTATTGAGCGAAAGCAGCTATCTGCTCGCTTTTCTTATTGATGAAGGCTTTCGTTGACGGAAAATATATTCACATGGACGTATTGAGCTCTTTCACGACCACCCCTGGTGGCGCCCTCCGTGGAGAACACGCGAATCAATTGGCTTACCGGGGAGAATTGCACATCCAGGACGCCACCGTCGGCGCCACCTGTACAAGGCCGCGACTCGGGATAACTTTTCTCGCAGCAAAAATTTTCATCTTGATGGAATTGACGTATAGCTCCAAGTTAACAGAATCGAGCGCCCACTTCCAACAGAGCCCGGAAACATCTGGTTCGACCCTTCGGTGACGATTTGTCGCGCTCAAATATTCTACCCTGGTCCCGCAGGCTCCTTCGAGGCTACTAATGGAGTTTTAATAGAGATTTTTATGCGCTGCCCGTTTTTCTCGCTAGAAAACCCCTACACTGACCGGAGGTCCTGATTCGGGATGCGTGCTGGATCACTACGTCCGAATAAATGGAGAGAGATTAACGCAGCGCTCCCAGGGAAAGTACCGCTGGGGAAAGGTTCCACTCGGAATGTAGATCATGTCTCTTCAGATATTCACCGTTCGAAGCGGTCAGGGAATTCGCACGTTTGATGTGCCTGAATCCTGTCCTCGGAGCTCCGAAGCTCGCTTAAGTAGATTTGTCGAGCCGGACTCCATACAGCAGCGGATCGATTGAGCAAATCTCATTAATGAATCCTCCCTGTCCATCATTAGGCAACGCAGCGTTCATACAGCCCGTCTCCTGGCGCCGCTTCTAACGATAGACACACCCGATAATACAGAATCACAAAGTTGTTTTTCCAGGGGAAAACGCTCGATAGCATGTATTACTGGGACACGATTGCGTGATCCGCTTCACTCGGCGTAATGTCGCCGATGTATGGAGCCAAGAAGTCGTTCTCCGAGTAGTTCACTTGATCATTGGAGTCGCAGCTACAGTAGTTGGAGTCCATCCTAGCGACCACGTCGTCGCTGCGCGGTCGTCTTTCCTGGAATGGAATGTCTCGATCCTCTTCTCGAAATACCAGAGCTCTTCTGGCTCTCGGTTCCGGGGTCGACGTCGAGCGAGGAATTCAGATCTTCGGACTCCTCCGAGCGCCGATCATCATCGGAGTGCAGCTCTATCCCGATTGCAAACTCGTCGGATAGATGAGCTCCCAGTGTCGATCTGAACGTTCGACGGGATCTAGGAAATTGGCGAGAATGTTTCGAATGCTATGCGGGTACTTGTTCAGAACGTTCAGAGTCGATGGTTCCATCGATATCCGGCGCTATTCTGGGCGACAGGATGTCGACAGGAAGCCAGCGGCAGGTCGGGACATCGCTGCTGCGGACATAGGACGCCGCTCGAAGCTCGGAAAGTATTGTGTTTTCGCTTCATTTTTATCCGTGGGGAACAAAGGGCGAGCGTTGATAATAATTGCTCTTCGAAATGAGTTATCACAAAAACAGGAGGTTCGGAGGCGGGCCGCGCGCTCCTAGAGAGGGAAAGTCGGAGCGGAAATTAACAGCCATCGGAGATAATCGGCTCCATGGAGGAAGCTTATTCTCCCACTCGGTGTTCCCCCAGATCAAGGAATCGCAGTGGCGATGCCGTCGTCAGTCGCTCCGGCGGCAGCAGCAACGTTTTACGATGTGAACGACGTTCCCGTACAGCACTTAAGAACTGCAGTAACAACAGTTGAGAGAGTTTATTGCACACAAACTCGTCCTATCTCGTTGTTCTCTTCCGCTAGCTCGTGCACACTTTGGACACTCGGCTCGATCTCACTCAGCCCCTCGGAGCTCCGCACCGTGTTCAGCGCCCTTGTGCTCCGCTCGCTCCGACGCTCACTCAGAAGGGAAAGTTTGCAACAAGTAACTCGTCCTCGAAACTCGAGTAAGATCCCGTCTCCCCCGCGGAACACTTCCCCGGTGAGCCTTCCCTCTCCGGACAAGAACCTGGGCGTAGCTGCGCTTCTTCATGAGTGCGTACCGCGTGACCGGGGATTCGACGGAACGCGGTGCTGGAATCGTGGACGGCGCGCGGCATTTTCCCCTCAGCGATCTCGCTCTCGGATTCGCGAACACGAGAAGGCCGAAAAACATCCTGACTCTGTCCGTGTACTGAAGCTTCACAAGTGTTTGACGTTCGACGTCGGGCCGCCGTGTCAGGCAGCGTCCTCCTTCGACTGCAGCCAATTAATGCTAATACGTTTGACGTGTCCCAATCACCAGCGCGAGGGAGCCGCCGAGCCAGCACTCGGAGGCAATAACGTTGTTGAATCCACGTCGCTCGGCCGGAAGCAACTTTGACATGAGCCACAACAACGCTGGCGCCAGACCGGGTGTGTACTTTGTTGCTGGATGCGCCGTAGTATGCGACTATCACAGTGCCCAGTCCTATTACCAGAGCTAACTTTTTCCACGCAATTCCCAAATGCCGTTTGCAAAACTTGTTTCCGCGCCCTGGCCGCAGAGCACTATAAGCAAATAAATTGAAAGTCCGATAATCATCTTTTGACTTCCTGTTCCCTGGAAATTGTTTGGTAGGTACCGGAACGGGGAATCAAGCTGCAGAAGAGCGAGCTGGAGCGCAATTCGTCGAGTAAAAAGAACAGGTGTTTCGTAGTTTGTTAGCCGCGGGCATCTTGCCACCCGTTCCTGCCTGCCCGTCTGTTCTTCGCTGCATCGGACGCCCGCTCGTCTCCTCCCCGGCGGACTGCAGGTGGTCATGGGAGAGAGAATCTTCATTGCGAATGACTCTGCCAGACACCGTTTTCGGGACAAACAACTCGATGATAAGCGTAGGAGGTCGCGGCATCGATAATGATGTTTTACTATCGGCGCTTACGATCTGTCTTGGTTAGCGATTCGATTCGGGACGAGCAGGTGAGGCGAACAGATAAGGTTGGAGGGTCGAGCCGACTCGAACGCCTCGGGCCCAGGCTTTGCAACCGCGCTCAATAACCGCAATAATTGCAGTTGTTCTTTAACATGGGAATCTATGAGGGACAGCGAATAACCGCAGTCGATAATCGCGGTTTTCCCGGTTTGCGGTTTTTTGCAAAGCCTATTCGGGCCTCGACTTTCAGGATGCGGTCACATTGCACCGTGGCGGTGTCCGTCGGTCGAGCCGAGGCTTCTCGTGTTTCTGACTCTGATCGGAGCGGCTTCTTTGATCTGAGCGCTCTAAATGCAGGAGGAACAGTCCTCTCGAGTCAGCGTCGACCTTTATCTTGTTTGCCTCTGTAACCGCCCGTCCGCGAAGTACTTGAATTTCAGCGGTGGGGTTTCCTTCATTGTTTGAAGCGATCACCGAAGAACTGGGTACGCGAAGAGCACGACGGAGGGAACGTTCCGACATTTTCGGAACGAAAACGCAGCAGCTCTGCTTCTCCGAAATTAAATGGAAACCCTTCCGCGGAGCTTTCTTGCGAACATCTACCGCTGGCCACTGAGCGTGTGTCGTTCTTGCCGTCAGTCGCCGCCGTCACCGCAAACCATGATTGATGAATGTAATGCTTCGTAGGAACAAGATGGCAAGCCGGCCGACTCGGAGAATGACTTGCTGCCATACACACATAGCGATGAGATTTTCCTGGGCCAGAACCGGTTTGGCATGCCCGGCGGCATCGGCGAACACAGCACTATTAAATATCCTCGGCACCAAGCGATTCGCATTTACGCTGCGATCCAAGGATTCCCATGCAAGCTGGTTCCGATATTTCCTGTTTCGGGTTAGACTCTGTGCTCTTTCGGAGTTGGATAGTTTGAGAAGGTCATCCGACTTAGTGCGTGATACCCACAGTCAGAGCCGAACGAAATTGGATACAATTCTTCACCGTAGCACCGGAATCGCAGCTCTCAGATCAAGGAAAACGGAATCGTTCTTTTTCGTGCGATGGAGGGACGACGTCGTCAGGAGTACTCCGATAGCATTAGGCAAGCGTCTGACTGACTCTGATTGCGAAACCTCATCCGAGGAGCGAGCGGACCGGGAGGGAAAGAAACAATAATGAAATTCTTCGTGTTGATTATCGAGCTCAAGTGTTTTCGTAATTTATTGCGATCATCCTCGAGAAGGAGAAACGCGGTGTTTCCTTCAACGTTGAAGGTCTATGGTGTGCCAGGGGAAATTTGTGGCTCGCCTGGGAAAAGGTCTGGAAGGTCATGAGAAGAAAAGAGCGCTCTGAGGGTAAGAGGGAATCTACGGTAGATATCCGCTCCTGCTCAACAATGTCTGAAGCGCACGATGCGCTCTCGGGCCGAAGACAAATGATAATCTTCTCAATATTTCCCCGCCTGTACCTGCTCTAGAGCATGTATTGTATAGCCACGGACGTCTTTCAGCGTCCGGGAATGAAATTGTAGGGAATGGAATTGGATCTCGCGCGCGATTTAGAGGCAAGGAGCTGACATGAATCGGAAAACGCTCCAGATCGGCT